GGCACGGCCCCAGGAGCCCCCCGCCGGCTCTCCCCCGGGCGTCCCCAAGTCAGCCGCTGCTGAAACTGACCAGTGGCTGACTGCAGGAAGCCCCTGCCCCAGGCTTCCTGGAATCAGCCGCTGATCAGTTTCACCAGCAGCTGACTTGGGGATGCCTGGGGTTCTTAAGTTCAATCTGTATGTAAGTCAGAACTGGAGTCCAGATTCAGCCGCTGTTGAAACTGATCAGTTTCAGCAGCGGCTGAATCTGGACCAGTTCCGACTTACATACAGATTCAACTTAAGAACAAACCTACAGTCCCTATCTTGTACGTAACCCGGGGACTGCCTGTACTCATAAGCAGGGAATCCAGACACGAGCAATAGTGTTGCCAATTTCTGACATTTTATCATGACCCCTTCAAGTCCGTTTCATAAAACATTAGTTCCTGGAGTCATATGAATAGTCTCAGCTTCCATTTAAGAAAAAAAAAAAGGCAGTTTCTAGCCCATATGACTACTGAAGAAAGCTTGAAAACATGAAAGGCTCGAGATCCTTTTAATTTGTTTTAAGAAAGTCTCATGACTTTTAAGCTAATTTTATTTTTTCTGTAAGTCTGACTAATGAATTTTGAATGTTTGAGTTTGGTGATATTATACATATCGTCCCAAAATGGTGCCAAGAAAAATCTTTATAGCATCCTACACCATCTTGATTACTTTAGAAGCCAAATATTTTACAGAAGGAAAAATGTTCAGAGATGTTTTTGTTTATAGTTGTTGTTATTGTAAGCATCAGCATTTATCAGGGCCAAACGGATCCAAAGGCTGAATTCAGGTTTCTATTCCCTTCCCCTCACTTTTGCCATTATTAATATCTATATGAAAAAACTTATGTTTAGGCTGAAATTTTCCACATTTAGTCTTAGCCTCCTCCCCTGCCCCCCCTTTTGAAAGCAAATGGGATTCAACCATTTTTGAGCAGTACAAGTAGGAAAACCCCACCCATCCACCAACTTCCACAAAGTTCTGAAGGAAATGTTTGCACTTAAATTATTTAAAAATAACAAACTAGAACCTCATTAATGATTGTTATTAAAATAGCACTCTACAGGTCCCATCTGAGATCATGGCCCATTGTACTACGCACTGTGGAAGCTAGGGATGTCAATGGGTAACCAGTTAACCCATTCCTCAGTAATGAGTTACGTATTCCTTAGTGGGTGATGCTTACTAGGTAATGGTTAAATGGTAGCTGGGAGCAGCCCCTTGCCCACGGCCTGCCACGGATGGAGGACTGCTCTGACTCCCAGCCTGCGCAGCCGGGCTGGAGCAGCGCCTGCCTGCGGTGGTGGTGGTGGTGTCTGCTCCATCCTGAGGGGGCTGGAGCGGTCCCCCCCGCTTGCTCCCACTTTAATCAGTTAACCGGTTAAACACTACGTTTGTTGGTGTGACATTAAACACTACGGCTACACTGGCATGAATTTCCGGAAATGCTTAAAACGGAATACTATTCCGTTTTCAGTTTTTCCGGAAAAGGAGCGTCTACATTGGCCACGGAGTTTTCGTGATAACTATGCGCTTTTCCGGAAAAGCGCGTCTACATTGGCGGCACGCTTTTCCAGAAAAGCAAAAGCCCGGAACCATTTTGAAGAGGGCAAAGGCTACCAGACCTTTCCAGGGGCGGGGCCGGAGCTCCGTCCAGACGCGTGGTTAAAGGGGTTTCGCCAGGCAGCCGTTGGTCTCGTGCTCCCGTGCCTTGGGACCTCTGCCAGGGACTGGCACCCTTCGCAGGGTCAGTGGTTGCCCTGTGAGTTTTGGGGACACCACCCTTTGGCCCCCCAACAGCTTTTCCCGGCGTTTTGTTTTGTCTGCCCTGCTCTGTCTGCTATGGAGCCGTGGGTGGCCATGTACCT